CGTAGTATGTCTAATATACGAAACAACCTTATTGCGAACTATCAATTATGATTCCAACCCAGAATATGCTTACAACATCTTTAGTATTTACAAAAATTCTAATATACATATTAAGAACTACCGATATTGAGTCATAAATACTGAGCTCAATATCAAAAATACTATTTCTTACCTTATGAATATCAATACTGACATACTCACTAATATCAATATTATTTTGGGTGATTATGACGATCTTAAACCTTTGATTGGTTTGGTTATTATACTCATAATTATCACTCACTTCTTAAAACTGCTATCATTATAGCTATAATTACCACTGTCGCTATGGTTGCTAGTTGTACGACCATTACCATATTTCTGGGTATATTGACAGTTTGAAGCTTTCGGCCGTTTTCCTATGGCTTGCCCAGAGCTGGAGCAGCTCCACTGGCAAGTCTGCGAGAGTTCTCCTGTCCCCTTCCTGTTCGGCTTTTCATTCGTTTGAGCAGGAGTGGGCCAAGGCCCAGCGTGCTGGCACGCAATACATTGCTAAACACTTACCGGCGCTTTTCACCTACTTTGTCTCTGACCGGTTGACGCCTTGACAGAGACGTGCGAAGCCGATGGTGAGTCTCCTCCCTTTTACGCCGGGGCGGTCAGTATGTGGGACGTCTGGTGTTTTGATGATACAGCACCTTTCTTCTTGTGCTCCTCAATTCCGACGGTTGATGCGTAAGTTGTGTCCACATTGGCTGGCATGGGGTTGCACATCAATGTCAACAAAACTTGCACCATAGGCTTGACCATTCCTCCATGTTTGGACTGCGTGCCTGAACTGAACTGCACCAGGAGTTGCAGGCGCGTTTCGTTGGCACCATGTTGAAGTTCCAGGATAACGAAACCAGTATCATGTTTGATCTGATGCGGAGGGCGGTGTCAGCGTATGTAAAAAAACAGGCCTTGCTGGGCCGACCGGGAGGGTCCACACCTCAACACCTGCAGATGGTCTTTTGCTAATCACCGTTGCCGTCAGGTGGTCATTGCGCGTCGTCACTCCCAGCGAGTCCAGTTTGCGAAACTGTTTCCGTAAGTAGCAGCGGTGCCGATGGAGCTATGAATGAAACAAATCATTCCGTGAAGCATGTCACATGTTTCCACAACTAACAGCAATCCCGAAGGAGCTATGAAACAGCTCATGCAGTGAGACGTCTCACCTCGCAATTAACACCGGTCACGAAGGAGCTGTGATAGCGATCATTCCGGGATCACAATCACCTGTTTCCGCAACTAGCAGGTCCATGAGGAACTGCGAACCACATTATTCAATCCTTCAGCAAAGCATTTCACGTGAATCCGCAACTAGTGGTCTTGAACAAGCTATGCAGCAGATTTGGTTGGAAACTCGGTTTGCTCAAATCCATTCGAACCCTTGATGTTTGGACCCCTAAGTGCCTACATGTGCACAAAAAATCAGTGCCGCACATGCGTCCGAACTGCAATGCCCGAAACCCTGAAGAACGAACAGTTTACTACACCGAAAGCTTCAAACTTGCAAAGTCCGAAAATTTCCTGCCAAAAAGCTTCGAAACCTGTAAGACCTGAAAGTTCTACTACCCCGAAAGCTTCAAACACCCCGAAAGCTTGCCACCCGAGAAGCTTGTGAAACCCGAAAGATTACTACCCCAAAGTCTTTAAACCTGCAAAGCGGGAAGGTTATTACCCGAAAGGCGACAGACCCGCAAAACCCGACAACTCACTACCCCAAGAGCTTCGAATCCGTAAGACCCAGCAGTTTACTACCCCAAAAGAGTTGAAACCTGCAAAACCCGAATGGTTTATTACTCAGAAAGCCTTAAACTTTTATAGCCCAAACGCGTTAAGCCAGTCCAGCCCGAAAGTTTACTGCTTTAAGAGCTTCACACGAGTAAAATCCAGCCGTTTATTATCCGAAAGGCTTTCAACCTGTAAACCCCAAATGTTGACTACGCTAAGAACTTCAAAGCGATAGAACCAGACAGATTAGACTGTAAGCCTATAAGACCGGAAAGTTTTACTGCCCGGAAAGTTTCAAAATTGTAAAACCCGAATGCTTACGACCCCAAAAGCTCCAACGCTGCGAAACCCCCAAAGTTTAGTACTTCAACGGCTTTCTAAGACTCAAAGAAGAAAAACCCGATTGTAAGTTGAGTACTTGCGTGCAATTGTTGCGTAACATGTGAAAACACCATATAGACACCCAAAAACAACGACCCTCCCAAGGTCGTACTGCCGCCCGAAAAAGGAAAACGCGGCGACTTTCAAAGTTGGGAGTATTCGTACTAGTAAGAGTAGTGATAACACAAGAAAGAAACATAATGCGGACCGCGAGAGCAAAGGACCAGAAGGGCAAAGGACTAATCATAAGACCAAAGGACCCGGGAAAAACCAAAATCAACACAAAAGCAAGCAACAAACAGGCCTGGTACTGGCGGTACCAGGCAGAGATCTCAGCGTTTTCCATTTGGTGCATCCTGACCTGGAGCTCATGAAGCCTAGGTTGTCAACCAAGAGCCGGACCCGAGCGCCTGATGCACCCAAGACCGAAAAAAGGTCCTCAAAATTTGGCCTTGGCCGGTGGGTCATGCAGAAAGGAAGAAGCTGAAGGAAACTTTCATGCCTGCAGGTCTTGGCGATAGGCTTCCTCGATGATCGTCAGCCTAATCAGTTGCACTGTCAATTCATCCCCAATCCCTGTTTTCCGCCCTAAGTGCAAAACCTCAGTGCTGGGCAGGTTATTCATCCGATCAATGCGTCGCCGCTGGCCATCAATAAGTCGCTGCTGCTCGTGCAGCACCTTGATGCAACGTATTGGCTCATGATTAAGCCAAAGCGCGTTGATGCGCGCTGCCTGGGCCCCGCGCATTGGCACGAATCGCATTACGGGCGCTGCTCATCCCAGCAATGGCCACCAAGAAGACAGAAGAGAGCGAGTCAAGGCAAGAAGCAGATTGCGTGACGCTCTTAATCCGCATCGCAAGAAAACAAGACCGAGGCAGTGCGATCGAGCGAAACATGCGACTGAAATGTGCCACTGGACTGACATGTACCATCATGCTGCAAGTGCTCCACACTCCCACACAGCTTGCAACTGCACATCTTGGTTTGACATGAACTGACATGAGCATGACGGTCGTTGCAGCACAAGCAACTGACATGTGATCGTGATCGTGTCCGCATTCTGATTGTGATTTGTGTTGAGTTTGTCTGCCATTGTGCGTTTGATGTGGACGGCTATTTCGTGCAGAATGCTCTAAGTGTGCCCCCTCTCCGCCCACAAAGCATTTTCGGTTTCCCACACCACTCTGCTGGCTCAGGTTTTCCCCTCATCCTAAGAACAATGGTGACGTAAATATATACATATATTATGTTATATATGTATTATATATACATACATACATACATACATATATATATATATATATGTATATATATATACACAATTATAAGGTATAATATGGTATTCTATGATTGCAAAGATACCTGTATGATCTCTATCCTAGATAGAGAGGAACAATAGCACATTAATGGTATGCATGCTAGAGTCAGCACTTCAGCAGTTCTATTTGACGGTTTGTTTGAGAAATGGAAACATGTATTATTTATTGGCTTTCGGGGCTTCCTGATTGATCTGAAGGGTTTCAATCAGCTCACTCGGTCTAATTGACATGATGCGGACACGGAAGCCAACAACTTTTCAGTGTGCTGTAGGGAAATGCAGCAGGCGCGGGAGGGGCGCCGTACACTCCTCACACTGCAACTTGGACAGTACGAGTAGGATATGATCTTGGGCTCTTTCGTGTGGCTTCATCAAGCTCAATCGTATCTTGACAGCATATCTCAAGGTACGCCTGTCGCCACTTCATGGGCCCACACATCGTCCCGTGAGGAGGGCTTCGGGTCAAGCAATTATCGTGAATACATAACTTGCAACCTTGCTTGACAAAAACTTCTGTGTTACTGAGCCCCTGCCGGATCGTCCAGAACTCTTGGACACTATGCCAGCAGCCGCATCAATGCGGGCAGCTTCACTTGACTTTGGGCACAGCCGGAACTGAAGAAATTGACCTCAGGTTGCGGTTTCACCCAAGCACTTCGCCAGCACTGCTGAGTTTGATGTGTCCAGCCAATGCTTTCTGCCACGGTGTTGCTTGTCCGCACAGCAATGCCGCACCGGGTGACTTAATGTAGGGACCTTTTGCTATACCTATCATAAGGAGCCCCCAAAGTAGTATAGGTAATTATTAAGGCCCTATATTAAAAATCTTAAAGGCAGGCTGCGAGGAAGGCAGGGACGTTGCTGACGACCTGCTGCCCTCCCTTCAACTTCGACCTGAGATGTAGGGGCCTTAACCATTAGAATAGGGTTTTGGGAGATACTATACTATACTATGACTATCATAGGGAACCCGCCAAAGCACTAAACACGCGAGGACTCCGGCAGTTTGATTGGGCAGGGCTGTGAAGTAGCACTGGCATTCTGAAGACACGACCTGAACACCCCAATTTGAAGAGTTCACCGATGCACATGGAGGTGGGTGGTTGTCAAAATTAGGGTCACTTTTTGGGTACCCCAAATATTAGTTTCCGAAATATATAAAGGACCCAGAAAGGGATCCTAATTTTGACAACCACCCAGGTGAGAGCACGTGCGATTCCTCCCGAAGCAGTTGAGGAGCAACTCTGCATCTGAAGCCATGGCAATCTTGGTGAGGCCCTCTGTTAAGACAAACTCCTCCGAAAAGTCTGGGCCAGAAGTTCCCAAGATCCCGACATGAGTGAACATCACATCGCTTGGCGACTGAGTCGAGAATCCTTTACATACCGCAAGCGGATGCATCCACTTCCGGCCCAAATCGGAACTGGACAACATCAAATAGTTGAGCTGTAGTGTCCAGATTGCGACAACTAATCCGTGAGACGAACCCACCACAACTGGGAATGGAAGTTGTCAATGCTGGCCCGGTCCTCACTTGGCGAAATGCCGTGTCCACCGACCCGCTCGAAAAAACCTCCGCTGCACATCGCAATAGGAAGCCAACCCGCGCACGAACAGAAGGTGGGGATCAGGACGTGGAGGTGCCATCAGAAGGGTGCCCGAAGCAGAAATGGAACATACCCAGAATGTACGAATATATGTATGAGCATATATATATATATATATATATATATTTATGTATATGTATATGCGTGGGGATTTGATCCTGGTAATGTTCTGTATCGCTCACCCCACAAAGAGCTGTATTGACTGTTGGCGTGGTTGCCTTCTACAAGCTGGATCACCGTTACTTCCACTTCCACACACGCACTCCTATGCAGGCAGATCCAACGTTCGCTCGTTTTGCACACTCACGGCCGGCGGTGGATCGTCTGTGCACGGGATAGCTCTGTCTACTCGGAGGATCACAAAGATTATAGCACTTTAGCTATGGGCAATGCTTTCTAGAGCTTGTGCTCATTCTTGAGCCAAACGTTGCATGGGCGGTCATACTGAAAGGATGGATAGGCATTGCGGTGTGCGTAGCACTACCACAAGCCTACTCCTAGAGACGAGGGACGCGTGGCGTGCCCCCTTCCCTTGCACTTTACACGGTCTTGCTCACAGCTCTTATAGTGACACCTTAGAACTTGACAAGGCATCGCAGTCCGTTCGCACCCCCCATGAGTTGCGTCTCCGACGCTGCTCACCCGGAAGATGGCACGATAGGAATATCAGAAAATTTGTTCCGCCGCAACTTTGACGCATAGATCAGAGCTTTTGCATCCCAATTAGAAACGTTGTGACACTCATCTACGTCGGTAACGATCCCCTGAAATGGCAAACGAATCAGGCGTCACCGAAGAAAGAAGCATTCGCGATGGAATACCACGTGCGAAGCACAGAGGTCACAAGCTGGAAGATGATGTAGATCATGCGTTGTCTCGCCACCATCTTCGCGTTGACGTAGGATCGCGTTCCCAGGGCCGGAGGTTCTCCTCTGGATACTGGTTCCTCTGCTTTCCTTTGTCCTTGCCTTTGTTTCGGCCTTTGCCGGCGATGTAGTCGTGGTAGGAATTAGTGTTCCACCCACCATGTTGCTCATCTCCGGTTCTCTCACGTCCTTTTGAAGGTCCCTTTGCCGAGGAAGCGCTTGCACGTTCCTCCGTAGTGACTGGCGTGTCCATGATGGAAGTACCACCCGGAGGGAGATACTCTTCAGCCGAAATGTGATGTAATGCTTCAGGACGTCGAGTATTCGGATTTTGCTGTCTTTCAACTCTAGACTTGACCAATCTGTCCATGAAGTGTGCTGGCATTTGCACGTTGTGGTCCACCAGCAATCCAACGGTCTGGACGGAATAATCTGCATGAGTCAAGAGGATGCCGACCGGGTCGATGTACAGAAAGTCCACTGGTCCAGTTGGCGTGTTTCGTAGTACCGAAAATTGTTGATGTCCTGTCACCATCGGGATAACCTCACATAAGACGTTGAGGCAACAAAAGTGCATTGCTTTCACGTCTTCATCCTTGTTACTCTTCAAGTACGTGGTTGGATTGAAGTTATCTCTGCCGATTCCCATCATGTTGGCTCCCCGTGTCAATAGCGAAAGCATCTGGTTCGTCCGGAAGCGCTTCAAAGTGTAAGTCCCGTTGGGATCATACGACTTGAGGTTTTCAGGCTCCTTAGCAAAGCGAAGGATCTCCTCATCAGTCACGTCCCTGCTCACACCTGTTTCTTTGTCCACTCCAGCCAAAGTTCCCCACTTTCCGAGCACATCATAGCGTTGGCCATGTGCGAAATTCTCTCTCATCTGAAACAACGGCATAGTCGCCCATTTCGCGAATCCTGACCAAGCTTTGTAGATGGTTCTGCATACAACGAACGCCATGTACGAAAGAGCGGCCATGTTGGCGTCGATGCAATGGGCGTTCCGTTTGCCGTGGTAGTAGGGCGGCTGCATGGCAGTGCGGGCGATTTGCAGTTCAGGGTCGATGTTCAGAGACTGACCGGCGATGAGGACGGGACGTCGTTCCTGTGCCACTGCATCTGGTACTTGGTCGTCAAAGTCCTCTCCCGGTTCCGTGTCCATTTCTTCATCAGGTTCCTGTTCTGGATCGTCATCACCAGCAACGGATGGTTCTGGAATTGCTTCGGGTTCCGCAACCGATTCCGCTTCCATGGCTTCCTGTTCCTCGACGGTTGCCTCAGGTACTGCTGCTGCCGCAGCTTCCATCGTCTGAGCAATGAAGTCACTTGGGATCTCCGTTGGAGTATCCCGTTGTGGAGTACCTTGGTAGTATCCGCAAGAAACGAATTGTGACCAGCAGGATGTGCATCGAGAAAAGCATGCTGGAACAATGTTGTAGCACGCTGGGCATACCCTCATTCTCCTGCCATCCTCATCTCTTCGTAGATCTTCGGGTCGCCAGTTCTTGATGACAAACTTGATGCCCTTGTCCATGTAGTGATGTCGAACTGTGTTCTCCCTGTGGGCCTCCAAAACAGTGGTAAGGTCTCGCATTATCTGCTCCTTGCTTGTGTCATGGGGTCCAGGAGGCATCTCGCAAAGCAATTCCATGATCTTGCTTGGTGTTCGATATCTCTCGAATTCAGGAAGCAATGGAGATCCATTGTAGTCCAACACCATCTCTTTCTCCAATCGTTCATCATAGATCTTTTCCACCAGAGCGAACGAATGTGTATCCTGAGGATTCGGGACGCAAAACCATACCTCCTTCACGAACTGGAACGATATCGTTCGACCAAGGATGATGACACCGCTGTCAGTGATACGTCCACCTTCTCGGGCAAGATCTGTCGAAGCGACATGGAGGACCACAAGGGGCATGTGCTTGGCTTGCGGCCCGTGTACCCGAGCTTTGGTCGTTGCGTTCCGGTCATCGAACGGCGCGAATACCCCCCAGTAACTGTGGAGTCTGCCACCTCGGTTGTCCTGAAATCGACGCCGCTGGTCGAAGTCCCCGTCAGGATCCTCCGAACCAGGCATGACGCCCTGCAGAACGATAGAATCCAAGTTGCGGCATGCTGTAGCGTGGAACGCGCCCCCGAGACGTGTCAAGAGGGTCATAGATGGAGATATTGCGAACCGGTCCTTGTCCAACTGAAGCAAATTGTTCTGGGGATCGGAGTGCGTGGAGTGACCACTTGTGGCCCTGACAGCCCCATGGCTTCACCCAGCCGTTGCAAACATTCAGGTACCTCTGATTGTGTCGGCAACGGTCGTTGTTCTGGATCTCTGTGATCTGATCGGGAACCGACACCAACATGTTCGAGTTCGCAGATCCAAGAGTCTCTGTGCCGGGGTTCTTCACTCTCACACCCAAGAATTGTAGCCGGATCTTGGCCTTGTGGCGTTTCGTGGCTGCAAGCATATTCCCCTGGAACAGTAACTGCAGTCTCTCATTGTACACTCTCTTCCTTTGGTACTCGTCGGTCCTTGATACCGCTTCGGTAATGCGTCTACTTTCGTGGGTCCATAGTTGCTCATGCCTCACCAAGTCCTCTATCAGCACCCACCCTCCTTCATCACATCGAATAACGCTGCTGAATGCCACTTGGCACCGGTTGTCAAGCCATTCCGAACCTGGGCGCCTGGCAATTCTGTGGCGTAAGTCAGATTGAATGCAGGATAGCGCCCATTCTGCGTTCATTCTTCGATGACGGTTGATGTTGCGAAGGACAACTTCATTCACGATGTCCCATCGATTGTTGATGAAGCTTGCACCCTTGGTTGGGATCAGATCAAGAATTCCGCATCGGATAGGCCTTCCGCCGCCGATGGATTCGTAGCCTGAATTTGCCCATTGTTGAGTATTCTCATCATACTCGAAGCTTGGACGATCTCCTCGTTGAGGCAGTCGTCGGTCACGATGGTCCGAAAGCTGCTCAATGAGATCCACCACCCGCTGACTGTTCTCGGGTCCCATTTCCCGCAGCGGTACACCACAAGCGTCATGTAAGCCTCGACGGTTCTCCACTTCCGTGCATAGGTTGTGCTTGTTCTCGTAACGAATCAAGACCACATCACCCCGAACGGCTTCGCCTCCGCGTCGCGGTCGGGCTTTGGCCTTGGGTCGTCGGTCCGAGGAAGCAACACTCACATGGTCTGTGGTATCAACGTCCATTGGCTCAGCTTGTTGCGTAGGTGGTCGACGTGGATAACGAAGAAGGCTGTCCCTGATGACCTGAATGCTTCGAAGTATCAGATCTCGGGTTGCAGCATTTTCGGTGCAATCGGACAGATGATGTGATTCACTGCCACAAGCAATGCAGAACATGAAGTTATTGCTCCCGACCGACATTTCGCCCTGAGCAAGTATTCCCACATAGTCCTGAAGCTGTGTGACGAGCACCTCACGAACTCTCTGCCTGGGATCGGGCTCTTCAGCACCCTGTTCTTCTTCAGGTTGCGCATCCACGTCAACGTCCTGTGTCGGTATTGGTGGTGCAACTGAAACCCCTGGATCGCCCGTGACGTTGTCAACGGCCTGTGTCTCGTCGTTCCTTGCAATTTCTACGGGGTAGACATCACCATCGACGATCACAGTGAAATCAATCACGAGGTCAGCGGACAAGTTGTTGACGATCTCAGCGACTTGTTCATTCTTCTTGGGTGGTGTCCTCTTGCGTGGGGAGTCAACCGTGATGAGCTCGATAGCCTCGGCCGACGCATAGCGGAAGAATGATCTTTCGATTCCTCTCACGCACGCATTTGCCCCTTCAAGACCACCCCAATTTGGGAAATGATTTGGATACCTCATCGCTATTGTAAGAAGCCCGAGTGCCAGCTCCAATGTGTCGCCCAAGAGTTCCTCCTTAGGCAAAGCTGACCCTCTGTAGCATTCTTGGCGCTCTTCCGGAGTCAAAAGCATTCTCATGAAACCAGCATAAGCGCAGTTCCCGGCATCGTAGTAGCAGATGTAGCAGGTCTTCCCTTCGGAATCGCATCCTCTGTCCCATGCCAACTGTTTGGCTTTTCCCCATGCCGCGTACTCGATGGCCTGACTGGC